CACGCCTCCACACTGGGAGCTTTGTAATAACCCAGACAGCAAGTAAGTTTCTGATAGAAAGTGTTGCTGTTCGTCAGAGTGAAGACTGACTAGAAAACTTAATTTATCTAAATTAGCCAGTCTGAAAGCTGAATTAATTTCTGAGCATGTGCAGCATCCAAAACACAACAGAGGAATATAAATTTTTGTTCCAAGTATGGGACTCAACACAAAACTAACTGAAATAGATATAACAAACAGGATTTATTGTGAATTTTCCATCAGAATCATTTTCCACTTCCAGTGCTTTTGTTGCAAAATGTAAAAATTACGTGAAAATGGTATCAATCTGCTGCTAGGAAAATTGATAGGAAATTTCCTGTGTTAGGAAAATTAACACAGCAGCTGCCCCTCTACCTTCTTGGAAAAACTGATTTCAGCTCTGCAGCTTTCCTTAGGAACTGTGGAGGCAAGAGATTCCCTTGTATTACCACACTAGAGACAGGCTACACAGTGTGTAAAGGGGTATCCAAGAAGGGCCAACCTTTGTCAGCCTTCCAAGTGGCAGCTGACATATTAAAACATTTCTATTGCAATTCTCCTGCAACAGAGCTTTGGAAACAATTCTTGGTTTCTGTGGAAAATACCGAGGTTTTACTTCTCATCCTCATCCAAAACAGACTATTTTCCAACCTACTGATACTCTTCTCGGAAGTTCAATTTTCCAAAATGCAAGATCCAAATTCCAGACCATAAGATCCATCCAAAACAACTCAGATTCCTATGTTCAGCCTGTACCTTTGTCACACTTTGCATATCTGGATTTATGCCAATAATTTTCTTTAATAGACACATTTTTGGTACAGTGGGAACTGGTCCAGAAAAAAGAATTTGCTCCAGTATGCAGAAACAAGCTTTTCTCTCAGAGTTATTATAGGTTTAGCATACAACAATATCCAACAAAAATGAAATCTAATTGAGCAGAGGTACTCCCCATATATTGTTTGGCTATGTTGGATTTTAGCATGGCTGGTTTATTTTGTATATTTTAACCTTGTGGTCTACTTTATCCATTTTTTTTTTAAGGAAGAACTGGGATTTATAGACTTCCTCAAGTCCCTCTTTGTTCTTTCAGAATGAAGCGATGGATTACTGAATTAAATCCTTGCCAACTTATCTTCCAATTTATCCTGTGTATCCTCCTCCAAGGTAGAGCACACTCACTGCTTTTCTGGAGCACCTTTTCAAGTTTAGTTTCCTACAACAGGAGTCTGGTTCATGAGCTCCAAGAATACAACATAAATTGAAGTGCAACACATGAAGACAACAGAGAAATGTGCCTCAGAAGCACATTTGTCTTCTGAAATAAAATTGTAATGCACCATTATACTGGCAGTGGCAAGAGGAAAACTCTTCCAAAGAAACATTTTGGAATACTGCAGTTAGGTCCTGTTCTGAACTACTTTCTTGGATGAAATTCTCTTGCAACATCAAAAAAGTTATGGAAACTAGCTCTCCTCCTAACTCAGCCACCTAAGTGATGTTTTGAAACTTCGGCAAAAGCACCATAAAGCAGGCCAAAAAGAGAGTCTGAAGAACAACTATGAGGAATAAATCTTACTTCAAATACATCAGGAGCAGGAAGTCTGCTGGGTCCACTAGTGATCAGAATATAAAGGAGCCCTGACAGAAGACAGGGCCATTGCAGAGAAGCTAGAACTTTCTGTATCAGTGTTTTCAGAGACAGAAACTGTAGAGGATTCTACACGGAACATTTTTCTGTTTCTAGCTCAATCTTGAAGACATACAACTCCATAGGGAATATAACAAGAAGCTATAGTATGCTGAGTGGTCAAATGAGGTGCACGGGGTTTGCTTTGTTCACGGTGTTTTCCAATAAAAGACATCAAATGAAGCTAGCAGGAGCCAGGTTCAAAGCAAGTAAAAGGAGACAGTTCTTCACACAGACATGAAACTCCGTCCCAAAGGATGTTGCGGGTGTTAAATTTTCCAAAGATTCAATGAGAATTGGACAGGTTAAGGAAGAAGAAATACTTTAAGGATTTTTAAGTACTGACATTATGTCCAGTCCAAGACATTTCTTGAGCTGAAAATAGCTGAAGACCAACTTGTCCTGTCTCATTTTCCCCTGGCTTCTTCATCAGTCATAGCTGGAGTCAGAATATTGGGCAAGACACTTGATCTGACCAAGTACAAACATTTTTTATGTTTCTAGTAGATAGTGTCAGTTCCTTTTTGTTTCTATCCTACATGTTGTATTTTGGACCTATAAAAAAATGGGCAGGATGTTAATCTCCTTTATTGCCACCTCATTTTAGCTCTGGAAATTATTATTCCTATTTTAGCTAACACCATCATGACTTATATAAAGCATCTATGGCCTGATCCTGTAAGAGAGGGAGTTCTTCATTTCCATGAAACCAGCAGGAGCTGAGAACACCGACTGTTTTAAAGGCTCCTGAACATGTGACAGTCAGTGGAATTTAAGCATCCATTAAGAGCTGCACAGAAGTGCTTTCCTGAGTCTGGGCTCTAAAAGGCTACTGAGCTATGGAAGGGCTTTGACACACCATGGTGTTGTCAGCATATGCCTGCTCAGTTTCATCCTGTTTTATTCTTATCTCCGGGGGTTTTTTTAAGTTTAAGAAAGCTCCATTTCCAAACAACTGTAGAGTAACTGAATTGTAAAGCATCAAATGAGCCTTTCTCTTGGAAGATAATCATCATGGCCTGAAGGTTAGATCAAGAAAGAAATTCCTCTTTTAAACAGAATGTTTCTTCCCACACAGAAACTAAAGGCAAAGGCTGGGTCATATGATTCTGTATGTAGATTCCATAAAAACTATGTGTTGTACCCTGTTTCAAGATGGGCCTGAACTGCATCCTGGAGGTGAATCTCTCTGGACGTTTGACATATGGGATCTAGGCTGGATGGTGTAGTTTGAGACTTTTCATGTAACAATTTTTTCCTCTATTTCTGTGTGCTAAAGCCCTACATTTATTGCTGAGCATTGCTGTTGACAGATGATAAAAGTAAACAATAAGCAAAACTTACAGATGGCAAATGATAATTGGGAATCACTCAGAGTTGATGTAGTGCTTTAAACTTCACTTACATATATTTCTGTTTCAGAAAAAACTCATTCCTGCAAAAGGGTCTAGAATATGCAATTTGAAGAAGGAAAGTCAAACCCCAAAGTAGGCTGAAAAAATAAAAAGGTGACTATGAAACAGCATAAAAAAAGGGTCTGGGCCAATTCATAGCCATTTCTGCTGCAGCTCTTAAAATAATGGAGTGAGTTTTCTACTTCGCTCACTGCAAGCAGTTGACTTGGAAAGTCATATTGGAAAGCGAAAGCCTTTTCTTCATAGAACTCTCTATAGGACTGAAAGAATAAATGAACTTCTGATCTTTAGAAAATGTATGTGCCTTATTCCTGGCCTGAAAATATATCAAAAGGAAAACAGAGGGTATTCTGGGAAAATGTTTGCAGTACCTTTTCCCTAAAGCCAGTTTTAAATGTCAGGGGTTTTTTTGGCTACTGATCGTGCCACAGTACTTAAACAACAACAAGGCATGATGCTGGTTCTTTCCATTTTCTCCAAAGTTATTGAAGTTGTACTTCTGAAAGCAAAAATAAAAGAATTCTTCCTCAGAATATATGAGTTGAGCAACAAGAATCCAACCAGTAGATAATCATCTCCAGACGACAGAGGTAACAAAACCTGAAGATAATGATGAGGATTTTAAACAATCACTTTACCACTTTTACGCAACTCTTTGAGTTCATGTTGAACTTTTGCTCCATTCCAGCATGAACTGTAGCATGAGTGGTTCCACTTTGGCCTGTTACACCTCAATTACCCTTCAGGACTTTCTCAAAAATGCAGAAGAACCGCATTTAAAAAATGCCAATGGACTAACTAATAACTCCTTCCTTTGTTCAAAGCATTTTGTCCATTGTGAATATCACACACTTAGGAAGCTCTACTCTGAAATCTATTTTTTTATTCATCAAGAAGTTGTGAGTCTTGAACAAATCCAAATACAGTCTCCAGATAATGTCTGACACGTTAAGATTTCTGCATTGTCCTGAAATGTAAGAAAAAAAGTATGATTGCACTGCCTTAATTAAAACTTGAATTGAAAAACTTGTTAAAAGCAACTCAGTCAAAAAAAAAATCTTTGCCAACATGTGCACTGCATTTTTAGGATGGTTTGCGCAGACATTTTTGGCTTTTAGAAGATGTTTATTACCAATACTGTTGTTGTTGTTATTATCATCAACAATGTGTTCCCATGCACAGGCATATTGCTGGCTTGGATCCATGATGTTCCCATACAATAAAAACATGATTTTCATTATCACATAGATTATCAGAAGCCCATCTAATGGGCCTATCTTCAGTGACTCAGTTCATTTCCATTCTTCACCCCCCATGAAAGTCCATAACTGCTGACTGCAAGAAGCTCCTGTAAAAGCACACTAACACATGAAAACTTATGACTTTATCCAGTCTTCTAGTAGTATGCTTTTATGTTTGTTCAGTCACCAACATCTCTTTTAAAATGATAGCAATTGAAGCAATGGGATCTCTAAGAAATTCAAATTATATACAACATAGAAAATTGTTTCTTCTTTTTCACTGCATGTGATATTCATTTATGCCAAATAATATATGTGTTAGCAGTAACTGTGTGTCAGACAACTACTGACTACATGTCTGTGAGAGGTGATCTAATCTTTGCTGTCTAATCTCCAAAGCATGTGGTGGAGAGTCAACCTGCAATGCGTTAAGGGCACCAATATAATAAGGTTGGTTATATACAGTACTTCACACAAAAGAGTTTCCAAAAAAATTCAAAAGGTGAATATTATTACCTATTGCTGGTCTAAGAATTCTAAACACTGTCAAAGATATTAAACACTCATTTCTTCCTCTTCATCCAAGAAGCCTCCCCTACAGTCACCAAATCAAGTTATTATATATTTACACACCTAGCCTCTGGCTTAGCAATCTCCAGCAGGTCATTATTAACTGTTGACTTCAAAATTACTAGCAGTGCAGTGCTCAATGGGTTGGTCCGATGTTTTTTAATATAAACCTACTTTACCAGCTCTCCCTTTGCCTCTGGCAAGCCAGCACTTCTACTGTTATTGTGCACAATGGTTGGAAAACACTTTCCTAATATTGGCTTTTAGCCATGTAGCCTCCAGCTCAGTTTTACTGTCATCAAATCCAGCCTTCAGAGAGTTATATCAATCCCCCTCCTCCTCTCTCCCCACATACATCCCCTTTTCTTACAACCCAGTGTTTGGCATTTTAATTATCTTGTGCTTCCTTATTATAAACACCTGTAAAGTAAGCCTTACCTGGCAATGAAAAGGGAGATAGATTTTCTTGCTCATTTTCCTCCTCTTGATTCACCACAGGGATGTTCCCATTTTCAATATTCTCATGTCTCCTATTCTGAAGTGGTTTGCTTGAGCCATTGGCAGATTGGATTAACCGCTGACGCTGCACAGTGTCAAAGACAAAACTGCCATAGTTTGGAAAATATTGACTTTGTTAAATCTGGGCTCTGCTGTCTGTCCAGCTCCAGTCATGTGGGCTGTGATGCTTCTCCTTCCAATCAGCAACAAACGAATCTGTCTGTGGCCCACTTGTCTTCATCAGGCCAGTGCTGACTACCCACCTCAAAATTACTGGCAGAAGTTTTTCAGGCCATGATGGAGAGCTGTGATATCCATCCTTCCACACCATGTTTTAATGAGTGTGGTTATTCTGAAGCACTTCTTACTCAACAGTTCCGACTCAAACTAGCAAGAGCACTATAATCTAGTGGTAATACTCATGACTTTTCTGCACTATTGGAGTTGGCTTATGAATGACTCATTACCAAGGATCTCTCCTGCTCAAATGTAACCCTCCTCCCTCCTTCTTATCCTCATTCCTTGAGGTGAATGTAAAGGTCCTAATAATAATTTCAAAAGCAAGACTAACCCCTGTTGCCCTTGTCTGAGCATATACTTTCATGAAGCTCTTAATTGTCCCCACAGATATGTGGAAGACTGCTACACTTCCAATAAACAGTACAACAATTACAGGGATAGGTTTAAATGCCAGTATATTTTCCCAATAATACACTGGAGAATGTGAAATGGAAGAGTAATTTCCTACTTTTATTAAAAAATGTATTTTTAGTTTGTCACATCAAATAATGCAGGGTTGAAAAGTGTTCTTTTTCATGACAAATTGTTGTAGCTTCCTAAAAGTGTTCTGAAATGCCTTAAAAATATAGTTAGTGCACAACATTCAAAAAATACTGAAACACACTGTAGTTAAAAATAGAGAAAACTCATATCTGAATACTTTGCAAAACTTTGGCAGAGAATATGTAAGAACACAGATCCAAATGGTCTGGTTTAAAGAATGATTTTTGCAGATGTTGAACTAGGAAGTATCAGCTCTCTGTGCACATATCCATTAAAAATGAATTTTTTGCTGATGGGTGAATTGCCTTCAAAGCAGAACTTTTATGGAGTCAACTGCTGCTATATGCCCTTTCTGAACTTCTGCTCTTGACTGTATGCCGCCAAGCTGACTTTGTAATGAACCACTGTTCTACTGTTAAATTGGACTTTTGTTACAAATACATTAGTGCTGCTTTCTTTCACTGGGCTAGTCACAATGCTGGGAGTTCATAACACATGAACTGTGTTATGACATTCAAATTCTAGGAACTTGCTAAAGCCTGTATTTCCTAAACTACTGAAATTATTTTATTTGTGAGAGTATAAATGTCTCATATTTGACATTGTAGGGAGCAAAGGATAAATTTCCTGCTTTCACAGAAGCCAAGGTTGGAAGGCCAAAAATTTCACCCCAGTACTTCATACACGCCCAGAACAGTGTCACAGGGCCAATCCTGTCACTTCAACTGCAGGGTACGAAACAAGCAATAACAATAAAGATGGTGACAATACATCAAGGTAGAGAGAACTGAAACTGTCTAGGACAAATTCCTCTCATAAAAATATTTTGATCCATTTTCATCTTGAGCTGAAGACTTTAAAGAAGACTAAGGAGGTAGGCAAATATCTAATGTGATCCTGAGGTGCTGCCTTCCTGTTAAGACAGGCAGCATTGCCAATTAGGAATCCGTCTTGAAACGTGCTGTGACATAGCTGCTAGAGAAAGACATAGCTCTAGCCCATTCCTAGGAAGATGGGAGAATCTGAATTCCAGAATAACTGTGAACATGGCTCTTTAGCAACTCCTCTACCTTGTAGCAATTTATTCTTTTCTTAAAGAACCTACCTCGTTAATGATAAGTCGGCTTGCCATCCGCATTCTGGTGCGTGGTCCAAACTTATTTGTAATCATAATCCGTAATCCAGCTTCAGGGAACCGATATTTGGGGGGACTGGAACAGATGATCTCATCCACCATCACAACACTGTTTTTGCCATACTGCTGCACCCCCTTCACTAATGGTCACAACAGACAAAGTTAGTTGTGAATTTATCTTACCACGCTTCCCATCACCCAAAGTCATTCTTTTCAGACTCTAGGGGAGCAATATTCAGTATCTCTAACATGACCAGATTTGAAACAATGGAAAAAAAAAATTGTCAAGAACAAATGTATTAAGTAAGCCTTTGTTAATATAAAGGAACTTGTACAAAGGTTACAAGTTTTGTTCTACTGTGTTAAGAACACAGAGAAACAAACTTATGTTGCCAATCAACATAAGTACAGTAAGGACTTTCAGAGCTTAAAAACAAGCCAATATTCTCACAAATGCTAGACTATACACAGCAAGCAGAGCAAGGCTCAGCAGACAGGAGACATATCCATGTGGTGTTAGAAAGCAATGTAGGAAATATGCATATGACTGTAAAAAATATTAATTACTATATGTAAAAAAAACCAACCAAAGCTCTTTGATGCTTGTTTTCTGTTTGCTTAGCTTCACCCTCCCACTCCCCTTTTGCATTGTTACTTACATTAAGAAGAAGAAGAGAATTTAGGAAGTAGAAGTGCAAGATAATTATTAGTGCATGGCTCCAGTCAGGAAGCAAAGGAAATCTAAGACAACATTCAACTCGAAGGAAATAAAATGGACCTGTTCTAAAAACTCAGAAATCTATATTGTTAGTTTTTTGCATTGTTACAGTGTTGAAGTATTTTTGGTTTTCAGGAAGAAGACTGGATCCATGCATGCATATAAATCAGATCATGCTATACAGGCTTTGCTGTCTCAAGCATCTTCTAACATCTGAAGTTGAAAAAATATATCCTTTCATTATCATTTAACAAGAAAAATCAAGCCTATAAATCACCAGTAAACAGCTATATCTTTTACCCTTTGGCACTGGAGTGTCTTCCTTTGTTTCACTACAATCAATTTTCAGTGAGTACCCTGGAGTCACGTGAAGTGTCATACAGAGATCTTTGGTTTCATAAAAAAGTATGTCCTATTCAAAAAATCCACTCTGTGGTTTTGTCTTGCAGGAGGATAGAACTAGTAGTAATTTTGCATTTGGTAAACATAAAGGAGCAGTTATCCTCCCTCCACCCCAACATCTAAAACAATTAACCTTGCTGAGTACTACAGCTGACAATGCAAATAAGGAGAACATCCATTCCAATGACTCTTAGAGTGCAGCAGAATACCCGGAAGGAATGTATAGCCAGACAATCTTCCTAGGAACCAATCCTCACAGAAGAGGTCCTCAACCACAGTAGCTTAACATTTGCTTTAGTTAACAAAAAAATGTTTTACAGTAATCCTGGTAAGGCAAAAAGGCCAGGTATCTTTTTAACAGTTTCATCAGATTAACTCCTCTCAAGTGAGTTTCTCCAGTGAGGTCTCAAAATGCTTCTTTATCTTACGGTATCATGAAAAAACAACAAAGCACTGCAGTTACTCTGGAATTATTTCTTATAGTACTAATGAGACAGTGACCAAATATACTCTGCTTTGATAAAATACCATGATAAAAAAACCTCAGCAGTGGTGTAGAATACATCACTATAAAAAAACCCCCAAAAGACAAAAAACCCAGAACAGCAGTTTTGAGTTACTGCAGCACATTACTCTTACATTTTCATAACAGTTCTTCCATCTCACACCCTATGCCCATAAACAAATATACCTTGGCCCTATATGGTACAAACAGGCTCCACCCAAAAATCACAAAATTGGTTTTCAAAAATGTGAGAGAGAAAAGCCTTTTTGGCCTCTCCTTTGTGATATTCCTTAAAACAGTATCTTCTGAGAATGGCTTTTCCTTTTAACAAACTACCTAAACTTCCTGCTCACCATCACCAACAACCCTGTCCCTGTCAAAATCAACAGAAAACTTCTTGCTGACTTATAGCTGACTCCTGGTCAGGCCCTCAGAAACCCACTTTTTTCAGGAGCTGCTGAGTTTAGGGAGGAATCGAACCATGCCATCTGGTGGAAATCTGGGTCAACACAATAAAAGCCAAGGGCAGGGAGCCACATGCTTGTACTTCTAAAATAGAAGCATTATTTATAAAGTACAAATATTTTGCCTTTACCTGTGTGTATAGAAATCATCCTTGAAATTGAATTATTCTATGGTGAAAAGCTCTCCTTTTTCTTCTTAAACTTGAGTAATGGAAGCTTTTATAATGTACCACTGAAAGCTCTTGAAAATAGTAAAATTTAGAAGCATAAAAGAGAGCTGTGCAGCATGTGAACCCCCCCTTTTATCTGCACCTTGAGCAACTGACTAAACATCCTTGGTAGGAAGGAAGAAAGTTCCTCACCCAAACCAACTGTTCTTTTTTGGGAAGTAATCGCTTTTCTCCTGTGAAAATAAGATTAAGATTAAACCTACACCTTCGTGAACCCAAGGGAGGCTTTTTGGCAGACCCCAAAACTTGCTAACCACTGGTTGGAGGTCAGGCAGACACCAGCTGTAGTTTCCTCAGAGCTACTAGCAGTGCTCGTGTTTCTGAAAGCTGCTGCTGGGAAAGTGCAGCTCAGCTTGTGAAGCCAGCCAAGTGTCAACTAACAGCAAGTCATTGATAGGTCATGGCATATTTTGATTCAAGAGAAGGGAGATGCAACAGGCAGCCATGTGATGGTTTTCTAGGACAGCTTCTTGACATATAAAGCACCCATCTACAAAGCAGCTAGGCTAACACTGCCACTGTCCTCCCCCACTGCTCACTCCAAAACCCTGTCGCCTCCTTTTCTCTGCATACTCTCTCATTCCAGATAGATTTGCCTTTGATAAAGGCACTCTCACACTTTGGACAACAGTCTCCCCAAAGCAGAGTCATGGATGCTGGAAAAGGAAAAGGGAATCTGACCAAAACTGCAGTCTCAGTGCATCTTTGAGGGAAATTAGAGAGGGAATCTGCTGTGGACAAGTGCTAGTGGAGACATCATTCTCTTGAGTCCAGGTTTTTATTAGTGTTCCTCCTCCTTTTTCTAAAAGTTCTGCATGTTCTTCACAAGTATTAAATAATATTCTCATTTCCCAAAAAGAAAATAGGTGGACAAACAAGCACTCTGCTATCATCACTTTACCACACAGTGGCCAGATAAGAGAGCATGCAGGAAGATAACATCAGAATCCAACAAATACCTCAGAAATAAGACCCCCTAATATGATGATATTTCTTTCTTTCAGTTCTTTCACTGAATCATCCTTATCCCGCATCCCCACTTGAATACGTAAGTAACTACTGCCCTGGGAGTTATCCTCTGAACCTCGTATGTACGTACCTCCACATCCAAAGACTCAACTATATCACAGTCAATGTTCACAACTCATTGCAAAATGAGATTAAAGTATTTCAAAGACATCTTCATTTAATTATACGACAATGTCCTATGAGTAGTAATTTTAAATCCCTATTACACTATTATCTAAACAACATAGACCAGAGTACCAGTATGCTGCCACTGCATAAATCTGTAGTGACAGTACCCACCTTCAATCCTAAAGACTAAAAGCAGAAAAGAGTGGCATTCTCTGAGTCCCCTCTAAACTTCTATTTGCCACTATTTGTTATTACATGAGAACCTTTCCAAATCCTACCTATATTGTTGCTGAACCTCCTAGAATGGGAGATATTTGCTAACAGACCAACGAGACCTCACTTGTTAAGAGTAGCCCAAGATCTCACTATACGATTTGTGCTTTGAAAAGAATGGTTTTGCTCTACAGATAAAAATAAAACAATGATAAAAACAGGCTTACCAAAAGCCAAAAAACCCCAGGTATGTTTGCTTACCTTCGAAACAAGAAGCTGAATATCATCTTCCTCCCCTTTATGACAAAGACACAGACAGCAAAGAACCTGCATTTCTCAATTTTACGTATCTGCTTGGCAATGTATGCAGAACTATTTAAGCATGAGAAAGCCAGTCTTCTGAGGATCTGAACTCAACACAATCCCCTCTTGCCCATTTATCTCCCTATGTTCCTTCCTTCAACACCCATGCCTCAGCTTCTAGTTCCAAACTAATTTTTGAAGTGAAAATTACCTTCTTCCTGGCAAAAAAAAAAAAAAAAATAAAAGAAAATTTCTTTCACAGTGTTGTAGCTCATCAATGAACAGGAGACAAAAAGTGAGCAAAATTGCCAATGTGCAAAGCAGCTTGCTATCAGAATAAAGATATAAAAAAAGAAATTGATTTTTTTGGGTTTGTTTGTTTGTTGTTTGGGGGTTTTTTTTTGTTTGTTTGTTTTTCCAGCTGACAATCTGACTGCTGAATTATCAAATTATACCAATAAAAATTCCTGCTTCTGATTGAATAGTAACACTGTTTTGATATATATTAAAGAAATAAAAGGGCACCCTGTGAACTACTCTTTTTCAAAGTCCTGTCTGCTCAGCCTTACCTTTCCATAGTAATGGAATGGATGGGTCATCACAACTAGAGGCATAATATTTATTACCATCTTCAAGCTCATTGTTGACTGTGTCACCATTTCCAACATTCTTGCTTTTAAGGGTGAAGAAATTTTGCATCCTCACATTGTACCTGAAAGCGCAAATGAAAAGGTCTGAAAAAGCTGGATTGTTGCATTTTCTTGTCAAGCTTTTAAGCATCTGAGAACAACTTATGCAAGCAAGCGTTAAAGCCTAGATGCACGTTCAGGACAAAACCACACAAGAAGAATGATGGTCAATTAAGACCTAAAGGGCCTACACAGGAGAAAAGCACTTACTTCATGATAAGTATGTAGAATGAATACATAATGATGAGTACAAGGCTTTCCCACCTCAGAGAGACAAAAAAAAAAGTGTTATAAGGCCATTAAACAGCTGTACACTCTTCAAGTTTTATGTAGGGGTGTGAATTAAACATCTAGTACAAGTCACATTTGTATACACAGGATTCACATCATTAAGATTAGATGGTGTCTCAACAGAATGGGGAGAAGCAGGCTCTCAAGTTCCAATAAGCATGCAAATATGTAATGCATATATTTCAGAAACGTGGTACGCAGACTGAAACCACAGCTACCCTCTGAGGATAATAATGCCAAGGCCTTCTGTCATTTCAGCACTGAAGCACAGGCCAGGCACTCAAGAGGACTCTTCTAGAAGATGCTTATGTTCTTCCACTAGGATCACAGGCTGGACTGTTCTTTGGGACACCTAGCACCCCCGTAAATATTAGCAGCCAGAATCAGCAGACCTTCACTTATCCTCTCTGCACATGTGAATCTTCAGGCCTTAAATATAGCCTACTTACTTTGTTAATGTTTCCAGGTTCTTACATTTTCTTTTAGTTTTCCCTGATCATCATAAAAAAAATTAACCAAAGAAAATACATAAGATTTTCTAGGTGTCAAATCTAGTTCATATTCCCAGTATGTATGAATGAAAGCTAATTAAAAGTCAACTCTATTTACTGATCAGTCCCATGGCAAAGATGGTACTGTAGGGAATAATTTACACAACTTACCACTCTATTTTCTCATCATATATGAACTAGAAGAAGGGAAAAAAAAATAAAAGGAAACACATAAATTGACCATATCTCTGATCTATCTTGAAAACCAGTCAGATTTATTTAATAAATATCAGTCATATCTAACCAGAAGCAACTTGAGTTTTGACCCTTTCTAACCAGAACTTTCACTGTATGGACAAAGCACAAACCTTGTGAATAAGACTTGGATCCCTCTCAGTGATTGTTATAAACACTACTGAGTAAGACAGTGTGAGCATGTGAAAGAGACAAATACACACAAATGTACATAAAATACTGTGCTGTGTAAGTAACAGCAAAGTCATGTATTCTGAAGAGACCTAGCTCTGAGTCCTTTTAACAGCTAGACTAGTTTTAGTAGAAAAGACAGCCATTTTACTTCTGCTTTTAGGCCAAGTGGTTATACACATTTTACTCCACCCTATGTAATTCCTGTAACTGAATGGCCAGCTAGTGATCCATATTTATTACAAACCAAACTAAGTGGATTCTTCCCCTTCTTGCCACCAAACCCAGTAAATATGTGTGTTTGGTAACTACTACACTGTTCTAGATGAACAACGTGGTATCTCACCTGTGCTCCATTTAGAAAAATTTACCCAGAATCTACGAAATAAAATGACTGTGTAGAAGCAACAGCCACGTTCCCTATTCAAAATAGAGATGCAGCTCAAAATTTTTCACCTCCTCAACAGACAGTGCTAACTGCACTGAGCAACACTAGCTTGCTAGCCTGCAAGACCTTTACAGACTAGGTACAAAATGAATGGATATTGATGGACATGTATTCTGTGGGGCTGTATGAAGTATTCATATCTGGAGCATATTGTGGAGCTGAGCTATCACTTCCAGATGTAACTAGAATTGGCTAGGAAATGCATTGTTTACCAGTGTTTATCTATGGTTAGTTGGCGGGACCTCCAAAAATTAAAGCAATGAAACATATTAATTGGTAAGAGAGCTACTTACAACTATAAGTACAATCACAGATATTGTGTAGTACACAGAGTCCCGGAACACAGCCCACTGCGTGAGACAAACCACCTGAAAAATATCATAGAATCATAGAATGGGTTGGGTTGGAAGTGACCTTAAAGACCATCTAATTCCAACCTCCCTGCCATGGGCAGGGACACCTTCCACTAGACCAGGTTGCTTAAAGCCCCATCCAACCTGGCCTTGAACACTGCCGGGGATGGGGCAGCCTTGTAGCATACTTTAGCCAATAAAATACGCAATTTTAAAGACAAAACAAATGCCTTTATCTTGTAATCACTTAGGCATGTGAGCAGAATTATTATCAGCAGTGATTCTGGAACCAAACACAGTTTCATGCTAACAGAAGACATATCAGTTAAGACAACAGAACTATAAAAATCACCAGTAATAAAAATCAGAGAGAAACTTCCATTAATGTAATACATTTTTTACTAATGATACTTTAATTGGTCATAATTTCAATTGTAAAATACAATTCATTGTACTGAAGTAAATCAATGGTCCCCACTTCATTATATTTTGGATATATTGGACTTAATTCCTGAAAAAATATGATACACAGTCTAATCATCTACTGAGTAGATGGAGCAAATATTGTGTTCTAGAATCTTTGATCCCCATCAGTACCAGAAAGGATCAGCAGGTGCCACTGATCAGTTGATTGTGAACACAGTATTGTACAAGGAGAAGCCAGTTTCCTAGGTCTGCTACAAGTTCAGACTGCTGAAACTACAGCTGAACTTTCTGGAAACATCTGCTAAATGTAACATTTGACAGTTTTCACAATGCCAGTTTATTTTTGGCTTTGACTAACACTCCTTTCTTTGCTTGTTTGGGGCTTTTTGTTTGTTTATTGGGTTGTGGGTTTTGTTTTGTTTTGTTTTTCTTGTTTGGGGGTTATTGTTATTGTTGTTCTTATTTGGGGGGGGGGGCTGTTGTTTGTTTGTTTGTGGGATTTTTGTTTTGTTTGTTTTAATATTTGCTCATGGAAATCCCTAAATTGTAAGCAATTAAACTCCACAGAAGTAAGTGTCTTACTAACCTGTCCTGCAAACATTCCACAGACACCAACAATGCAGAGAATGTTGAAAACTGCTTAACCCACAATGGTCCCTACTCCTACATCTCCGTGAGTGATAAATACACCTGCAAAGGGAGCAAAACACACATTATTACACAAGGTCCAGTGAGGCCAAGTGCAAGGTCCTGCATCTGGGTCAGGGCAATTTCCAATATCAATATAGTCTGGGAGATGGAGAGCAGCCCTGCAGAGAGACTTGGGGGTACTGGTGGATGAAAAACTGGACGTAAGTTGACAATGGCCAACCATATCCTGGGCTGCATCAACAGAAGTGCAGCCAGCAGTTACAGGGAGATGATTCTGCCCCTGTACTCTGCTCTGGTGAGACCCCACCTGGAGTACTGCAACCCGCTCTGGAGTCTTCAGCACAGGAAAGACATGGACCTGTAGAGGCATCTCCAGAGGAGAGCCACAACAGTGATCAGAGGGACAGAACACCCCTCCTATGAAGAAAGGCTGAGAGAGCTGGGGTTGTTCAGCCTTGAGAAGAGAAGACAGGAGACCTTACAGCAGCCCTTCCAGTACCTAAAGGAAGCCTACATGAAAGCTGGAGAGGGACTTTTTACCAGGGTTTGTAGTGACAGGACAAGGAGTAATGGCTTTAAACTAAAAGACGGTAGATTTAAATCAGAGATAAGGAAGAAAATATTCACTATAAGAGTGGTGAGGCACTAGAACAGGTTGACTAGAGAAGTTGTGAAAGGCTTCTTTTGATGCAGTCCAGAATACACTTAGCCTCCTGGGCTGCAAACTCACACTGCTGGGTCATGTTGAGCTTCTCATTAACCAACACCCCCAACACCCCTCAGGGCTGCTCTTAATCCATTCCGAAATATCTCAGCTTCTCTCTCAGGGGCCTGCAATAAGTCTCTTCTTTTACTTCCTATGTTCAGAAACAGCTATTCATCACTGTGTTTTGAGAGGAGCTTCACAGTTTTTCATGAGATATTTTGAGTAGTTAATTGTACCATGAACTGCGGACTAGCTGACAGCTGCAATTGCTGATTATAAATTGACAGAAGAATGACAGCACTTTTGGATATCTCTACTTGATCTGATGCTGCTTTGTTAACAGCAGATCTCATAAAAGCTAGTGTGTGGGCTCCATACCTATAACAGACGCAAATAGTTCTGGAGTGGAGCTTCCTGCTGCCATGAATGTGGCTCCAGCAACATCTTCACTCAAATGCAGTTTCTGGAAGAAAAGCATTGGTAATTTCAGCACCGCTACTGTATTTACATTGCACAGTTACAGAGCTGCAAAGATAGAAGCTCTTCATTTTCTGGCCACAGCGCTATTAAAGGATCAACAGTCACTATGATAAAAATTAAAACACTGCCTCTGAGAAGGCAAATATACTTTGGACAAATAAAATGTTTATACCCTAACTCAGTGAAGTGTCAGACTACGTTAGTTATATATAACTGACTAGCCAATTGTGGCTTACATGTAGCTTAGAGAAAAGCATCTCTGCAGATTCAAAAAGATTGTAAGCATCTCAAATTCGTCTCATTAACATTTGGAACTCTAAACACAATCATTCAAGAATTAAGGGCTTCTAAAATTTGCAAATAAAAATCCACAAGAGAAAAATATAACCTCCGAGCATAAATCTTAGAAACAGCAGGCCTGATTCTGGCTTCACTTTGCAACTGTGTTAATTAAAAGTGAGTCTGCTGACACAGACAAAATTAGTATAATTAGACACAGAGAGGCCTGTGTACTGTAGACAGATCTATTTTTATGACAGTGTCTCTTAAGCTCTAATAGGATAGAAATAAGAGTTCTCAGACCAGCAGAAACCCGTGTAGCTCTACAAGTGGGCTGCATCAATTTAATACTGTCTGAAGATCTTTCCCTTGAACTATAAAGAAAGTGTTATGGAGGAGCTTTTTCCTTTTTGAGAGTCTCTAGACTCATCTTTGGTACCTCATCTTTCTTCCAAGGATCGAAAAGTGTTTAGTGACAAAAAGAGTGATAGAAAAATCATGTTTTTCAGGCAGTATGCAACATTTTGAGCTGATGAAAATGGCATTCTACAGAACATGACAAAACATAAACAAAAGCCACTACTGCACCATTTGACCTACTAACAGTCATACTGTTGCAGGAGCTGAAACATAAGTGTGCTATCTGAATTCTTTTTAGCTGTTTTAATGTTCAGCTGTTTTAATGTTTAATGTTCATAAAAGGCAAAGATTTTATGAAGGATCAGTGACAACTTAATTGGTACGACCCAAGTGGCACAACTTAAATATGGTGTATAAGGTGAATGCTGAAGACAGGAGACCTGAAAGGGAAAGAAAAGATCCCTCTTGAGTATTTTACTATAATTGGTTGTCTCCTTTATTCTTGTATCTTTTTTTCTACTGATAAGTGTAAGTACATAGCTCCGACTGACAGGAATTTAGTACATATATCCATAGGAAAATAGGCTTTTTAACTAGCTACAGGAGTTTTTCAGAAAATGGTCACACACATTTTTGTTAAAAAGCAAAGAAGACAATTTCATTTTGCCCTCAGAAGGGAATTAAAAACTGTTTTGCATTTTGCATTCACTTTGTAGTCGTTCACCAAAGCCTTACCTAACACAACATTTACAGGCCAAGTATAAATTCTATGCTGTCTCAATCAATTAATTAGAATACTACATGTAATTCTGCCAAGTCTTCTCAACAATTATGTAAAGGAATTACATTTATCTACTATTCTTTCCATATAAAATATGTATTCTCATTCCATGTCAAACCAAGTTACATAATTTTCCCATGCCTTCTCCCTTTTCTCTACTTCATGCCAGGACTACATATGCATGCTTTCTCCTTGCTGATACAGTGGTAAATGTGCAATAAAATTTGCACAGCCAACACATTAATTTGTCTATGTATGATTTATTTTCACAAGTGACTTTTACACCTAGGAGAATATTAATAAACCCAACTCATCCATATGCCATATCCATCCTAGCTACATGCTTCAGGTATTTAAGAATGGGGTTTACCATCTGATCTTTCATTTTTTCTCCTTGAGTGTGGCCAGGGGGACCAATGTGCCCAGACCAAAGGATAATGTTTTGATGGAAAGCTCAAATAATTTGAAAAGTACCAAGGCCAAAAAGTTGACAGGAATGAACTCCAAACAACAATGGCACAAAATATCTGATTCTATAATATTGCCTAAATGAATTTCCAAAAGATGAATAAAGTTCTTTAACATACCTCACAAATTTTCTCTAAGGATGGAACAAAGAAGTCATCACATACTATAGCCAAAGCATAAAACATATAAAGAGCCTGTAAAAAAAAAAAGTGATTCAGGAAATACTTCAGATTTTTCCAGTACATGAAAGGACGAAAGAAGGCAATGCTATATTTATTCACACCAGTAGAAATATATAGCTTCACTTTTTATTCCATTCCAAATAAAAATCCCTCTGCTGATCAATTTATGCCATAAAACCAGATTCTTGAATGTAAGATTAGGTTTAGAACCAGAATGTTTGCCAGACCCTAACAAAGGCTTACAAAGTTACGTAGTCATCATCTGTATTTTCCATGAATTATTATCAGACCCTGTAATTACATAGAAACACCGTGTTGATTAACAATACCCAAGAAATAATCACACCTGGAAATAAGTGGACCCTGATCATGGCTCACCGCACCAGACCTCTCAGGAATGATCCTGGTTCCCTGCACACGATTGCCCACCATCTCCTGTGTCTTTATGTGCTGTGCTCAAGCAGTGGGCCTAATCCTACTGTTGTCTAACAAACACAACTTCTTTTTACTTTACTTTCTCTGAGCTAGTAATGAAAAACCAGAGCTTGCAGGCCTTGTTTGTTTTTTTTTTTCTACAATAAAATATAAAACTCCACACGACATCTTCTGTATGTCTTCAGGGTTTTTGTATTCTAATTGCAATTGCATCTTTTGCACAGGGGCACAACAAGAAAGAAAGACCTGCATCATTTTCTTAAATAAATCACAGAATCATTTAGGTTGGAAAAGACCCCAAATATCACCAAATCAAACCTTTAACCTAGCACTAACAAGTCCACCATTAAACCATGTCCCCAAAACATATGCATAGACATACCAGAAATAATTAAATCAAAGTATTAGAAACAAGCTGATATATACAGAGCTCTATTTATTAAGGTCACTAAAATAATTAACATCTTACTAACAAAGGGAAAACAAAAACTAAACACAGTAGAGAAAAACTTACGGCAATGATATGAAGCAGAACTCCTCCTTGCTGCCGTTCTTTATTTGTAAATACATCTTCAGGAAATTCATTAATGGCTGAAAGTTAAATAAACATTTTTTTTTATTTTTTTAAACATTACAGCATCTATAAACAAGAGACTGAAAAATAAGGATGTATCTGTAGAAATATATGACTAAACATGAGTGTATTTTTCAATTTATTACGTTATAGCTTGCCACCTCAGAATCTCTTTTTTGCTCTGTCAAAAAAAACAGAGAACTGATAACTTAAGTGTTATTAATTACCTCATTCATAGGATCATACAATGGTTTAGGTTGGAAGGGACCTTTAAAGGTTACCTAGTCCACACCCCTTCCCACAATGAGCAGGGTCATCTTCAACTAGATCAGGTTGCTCAGAGCCCTGTCCAACCAATGTTTCCAGGGATGGCGCATCTACAGCCTCTCTGGGTAACCTGTTCCAGTATTTTACCACCCTCATCGTAAAAAATTCTTCCTTATATCTAGTCTAAATCTACCCTCTTTTAGTTTAAAACCATCACCCTTGTCATATTGCAACGGGTCCCATTAAGTCATAGAATACCAGGTTGGAAGGAACCTCAAGGATTATCTGGTCCAACCTTTCTTGGTAAAGCATGACCTAGACTAGATGTCCTAGCACCCTGTCCAGCTGAATCTTAAAAGTGTCCAGCGTTGGGGGATCCACCACTTCCCTGGGGAGATTACTGCAATGGCTGATTGTTCTCATGGTGAAAAATTTTCTTCTTCTGCCCAGTCAGTATCTCCCCAGCAGTAACTTGTGCCCATCACCCCTTGTCTTTTCCATGTGAGAAAAAGTCTGTTCCCATCTTTCTTATAGGCCCCCTTTAAATACTGGAAGGCCACAAGAAGGTTTTGCCAGAGCCTTCTCTTCTCCAGGCTGAAGCACCCCAACTGTCTCAGCCTGTCCTTGTAGCAGAGGTGCTCGAGCCCTCTGATCATCTTCCTGTCTCTCCTCTGGACCCACTCCAACAGGTCCATGTTCTTCTCATGTTGGGGGTCTCAGAGCTGAACACAGCACTGCAGGTGGGGTCTCACCAGAGTGGAACAGACAGGCAGAATCACCTCTCTCAACCTGCTGGTTATGCGGCGACTTAAACCAACCTCTACTATACTGCATTTCATATTCTTAACACCTTGTTTTTACTATCATCTCCTCTATGTCTCCTCTAAATACACTTCCAAAGTAATTATTTCATCCTGAAATAATACTTCTGGCTTTAAGTGTGCCTTGCCTGAAAAATTACACAATAGTTGTAATCTTCCATCAGGTTCTTAACTACAAACTTTCATAGGGCTCCACAGTCTTGCAAATTAAAGTGATTCCAAGTACTTCCTCCAAAAAGTCTACTATCTAAATCTGGTGAAAGAAGGAATGAAACAGAAATTGTAGGTGTATGATAGGGATGTGCAAAGACATGAGTTTTGACTCTGAAGTCATGTGGACCTCAGTTAAAAGATCTGCGTTCCACACAAAGGCAACAGAGTGAAAAAAAGATTCCAGATGGTGGAGACAAACAGCTACTAAAACAAAGACCTGAAGAAATAGATGAGATAAAAACCATCCAGATTGGCAAAACAGGCAGGGATAGAGACCTACAGTGCCTGAGACAGGTGTCTGAGAAGTTTACGGGTGAAAATTATTTCAGCCACTGGAATCCAAATGCACTCAAGTCATTAAATTATTATTCAGAAAGAGATGTTCCTGTCTGCAAGGACTTGCAGATATAAGTTGACAACATAATAAGCTCCACAAGGTTCTTGTGAATTTACCATAATACACTGAAACTTTGGGAAGGAAACAGAGGGAATATATGATCATCTTTCCCATATTCAAATCTGTCAGTTTAAAGAAATGCTTAAGAGCACAATATATGATATTTATGCTGCTCCATTTTCAATTTTAATGGCATATTTTCTCAATTTCTCAATATAATTTTGCAAACAACTATGAACACAGAAACCAAGAATTTGAGGTATAGTTGATGTTTTTTACTGACTAGACTTCAAACACCCTAAACCAGCCTTATTTTTAGGAAATGTTGCACTGTAACTCTTTGAAGATTACACTTTTTGCAGTATCTTAACTTTGAGTTACCTCTAATGACCAAACACACTTGAAAATCTTAGCTGCAGTGAGAGGATCATCTAGTTTCAAATATGAGAAAGACTTAACATCTCCTCAATCTTCAAGTTTTATATAAATACAAAAACGCCCCTTCTCATCTGTACTACACACACCTACATATGTCGCATATGTCTAACTTGACAAAGACTTGAACAGTGTCTCCAGGCAAAGTTGAAGATCCCATAGCTCTGTTTTTTTCCTTAGTGCCCACTACCATAAATGTTTTATGACATTTATGATACGAATTACTAAACCAGCAGCACATAGTGTTTAGAACCGTATACTAAACCACACCTTCCTTCCAAAAGTCAAAGTAACTATTCTTCCCATTAATAATTAATATTAACTAAAATTATTAATAACTAAAGAAGCATTAAGGAGACTTCTCCCTTGGGAGAAAATACCCAGAGCTAAAGCTGCTGGCATCTCTACACAATATGGTCATTCTTGCATTACTGGCTAAAATACCATGCTCACATGGAGGTGTTCAGGACATGCATACTATTTTTCTTATCACATTCCCCATTTGTCCTCTGTCTCCTCCATTCAAGTCATGGCTCTGAGAATTCCAACAATGCACTAGGAAAGCTGGACCAGAGCCTGACCGGAGTCTCTAGCAATGATAATGTGACCCTGCACATGGGGTACACATCCTTTCACATAGTCTGCTGCTAGGGTTTGCAGCTCTGATCACAGGTGCTTGTGCCAGAAGCATCACCCCACTTACTGCCACCATACAGCAGAGAGAATATATCCTTGTCCCATAACTTGGCAAAACAGCTATGTCATCTGGGAAGCTATTACCTACCCAGTAATCTCATTCAGTTGACTGTAAAACATTTCAAACTATAATATTAAAAATGGTTAAGTCAGTATAAACTGAGGTTTCAAGAAGCATGAGTAAAAATCACTATCTTTACAATAGGACTTCACTTATTTGAAGTTAATATCAACTAGGAAATCAAAAGATGTCAAAGGTAAGAGCCAGAAGATAAAATGAGCCCAAGTATCTGATCACGAATCAAAAGCAAACCAGCTTCATTGCAAACCATCTGGCTTCATATATAGTCTGGCAATACAGTATTTATAATAACTAAGTACTTGTAATAAATTTCTGCTTGTCTCATAGAGGTAATTTTAAATTGATTAACAGGAAGACAACTTTTCTCAAAGATAACATTCCTCTCTACACAGAATTCATGGTATACAATTGTTCTCACAAAGAAACACTACAAAAATCTTCTTTATAAGTCAGGGAAATGAAGTAAGGGTCTGGAGTTGGCAAGTAAAATTTCTTCCTTAATGAAATGGCCACCTGACAGTGAGTTGTAACATAAAGTCTGGAGTTCTTCAGTGCAAGCATTTGCTCTCTTTTATGGCTCTATTATCTAGATAATCACAGGTTTTGTGCAACTGCCATCTCTAAATTCTGTATACCTTATCTACATCCACTGTTCTTTATTTAATATTTTAAGTGTTTTAATATTTTAAACAACTATTTGTTTTTCTTACCTACTGTTATGATAATCTGGTTGCTCAGGAAAAGGTTGTTTGGATTATCTTGGCTCCTAGCTTTGGCCTGGGAATCAACATCACTGAACTGAGGAGGGGCAGTGGTATTCCCTCATCTGTATGAGCTGACAGAGGGGAAATGACATTATCAGAGTTTCAGAGAGCGCCTGGTCTGCCCTCATGGTACAATCTGATGTATGAGAGCAGCGGGGCACCACTCTACTTCACACAGAGATATTTTCTCCTGTATAGGAGACAGAGCTATCCAGCAGCCCGTGTGGGAGCTACATCTGCTCAGTTTCTACTGAAGAAAGACAGAACAGATGGGAGAAGAAGATGAAATGAAAAGCAGTACATCTAAGGGGGCTAACCTTTGCCAAAAAAGGGAGGGGAACACACACCAATCATCTTAAAATCAGCTAGAAATACAGAAATATTTATCCTGCTGGCACTGTTGCAAATGCATGGCTCCTGCAGCTTATCTTATCGAGCACAGATTTATTGAGGGGGAAGGGAGGGCACAAATAAAGTCAAGCCCATATTGGACCTGGATCATCCTGCAGCTCGTTCCCTTTCCCCAGTCATGAAATGAGTGGGGAAACAAAAGCAGCTTATCCAGCCATGACTTGGAGGGGATAGCACCACCTTTTTCTCTGAGTCATGGAAATGAAAAATCCTTCATTATGGCGTGACAGAAAGGATGATTCACCTTTGGTAAAAAGCTCTGAGGCTGAGCTGTCTGTGGCAAAAGAGCTACAAGACAGGCAAATAGCATGCCTTAGAACAGAATATAACGGCAGCTGCACAGCTCAAGCTGTCTGCATGACTCTGGAGGGAAGATCCACTATACAGCAGCTGGGGTAACCCAGCATGCCAAAGACACCTGCCCCGACTTAGGCTGTTACCAGATTAATTCGGGGTACCATTAGAGCATTGTTCCCGTATGCCCTATCAATACTGTGACAGGCAGTCTGCCAATGAAGTTAAGGTTCAAAATCTCCTAAGCCTGACAGACCATCTCAACAACCACGTGGATCTGTGGTTTTATAACCTGCCTCAACATGTGATTTCTTCACCTTATCAGCAGTTGATTTACTCATAGAGGCAACAAACATGCCAACTCTTAATATCTGCTTAGGGTCCATGCCTGTTGCAACTCTTGTATTTCTTCTCAGAGGTAGAAGGGAGCTGTAGCTGTTTGAAAGGTCACATGCAACTGGCTCCACTTTGCCTTTGCAAGAAGGAGGTCAGGCAAAAGACTCAGAAACCCACTTCTCCTTTTAATGTCTGCATCTTGTTCCTTTGCCCATGCTCCTCTGTCTCTTCAGGGCATGTTATGTCTACAGATTGCAATGCCTACAACCTTTGCCCTGGCATTCAGGAGTTGTTGATCATCAGACTCACCGAGGGCAGAGGTATAAGGGAAAGAAAACCAGGCAAAAGACAGAGTTATGTATTTCCACTTTTACCTCTTCTGTAATCATATTTACATGCCAGCTTGGATATTTTAAATTTGCATCTTTGTTTAAATACTGCAAGCAACTTTAGGCACCTTAACACTTAAATGTGTTTCTCCTTATGTGCAATTCCTTTTCCACATTGCAAGGCCTCATCTTCCCAAGGCCTAGTGCTCATGCACATCTATTTTGTGCCTGAGTGATAGCAAAGCAACTCTTCCCTGTCTGCAGAAATGAGCTTCTTTATACCTGTCAAGCAAATACATGCATCATTAGCTAGTGCCAGCAGCAAAATGTCAACAGTTTGTGCACCAAGACTTGAACCTTCAACAGCCTTCATGGTACTAACTTGCACTAAATTATAATTCTGTACTAACATAATCTGTTCAAAGATTTGAGTGAAAGCCAAAAAGCATCGCTTCTTGTAACCACGCCTCCCTGAATGCAGTGGTGCCATATGAGCTAAGTTGCAATAAACGTGTGAATATGTCTGAGAATCAGCCTTGCTTTCAAAACATTTGTGCCTTCGGCCCATGCTGTTACTCAAAAATCAGTGCACTAGGAAGACTTTTACAGAGAACAGCAACCTGCTGACAACAGGAGAAATTCTTCCCATGTTCTCTTTACTACTGATACCAAGAGAGCTAGTCCCCTGTCATGTTTCACATATTAACTTCAGTACTGAAGTGGTAACAGTCTCAGAAATGAGGGCGGTGAGCTCAGTACAGTCAAAACAGACATGTAGTTTCAGGGAACAGTGTAATACCCTGATCTGATCCTCTTACATAACCTGTGCACAGTTGGTATTGTGACAGCAACTGTGTACTTTAGGGAAGAGCAGGGTTGCTTGTGCTCATACAGAAGTTTTGACTTTAGTTATGTATTCCAGTATTAACAATGGAAACAAAGTCAATCCAAAGATCATATTATCACAGTGAAACTAGTTGACTGATACATAAGATCGGTCATATGAAAGTCCTCCTTTTTAATACTTCTCAAATTAGGTATAATAAATTTTAACAGTCATTAGAAAATCATAAATGTGCCATAGTACATTAAAGCTATTATTTTTTACACACTCACAGAAAGCCTAAGTTAAAGGAAAAAAATAATCATATAGATCTCAAATTTTAAAATAACCCTTTCTAACACCACAAACTAAAATGCACTTAAGTCTGAATTGTCACTTCAAAAAAATGGTACACTCAGCAAGTGCCTTTATACATGAAAGCTGGTAACTTAAAAACCTCACAAGGACCAGAGAAGGGGGGAAAAAAACCCAAAAAGCAAACAAAAACCCCCACCAATTCCAGATACCATCAGGAAAAAGTAAGAATTACCAAGCATTAAGCTCCCATTCCCATTAGACAGCTGTTTCCAGTTTTCTGGAGTAGGATGGTATGTGGATTTTCCCCCAAATACTCTGTTCACCTTCTGCTTGATACTAACCTAGGCACCAGTGTTACAGCATATCACAACTGGCTAATTCAAAGAAACACACACTTGAAAAATTCTGCAAGGAAATTCCTTTGGAGATAACTCTTGACTAAACTGGTTTCATGGATTATACCACCTGAACAGCAACAGAGCATCTGAATGAAACGCAAAGAAATGATACAAAATACCATCCAACTTCTTCAAGAGACATTTCTACGTCAGTGCAACACTGTGGGATGCCAGAGATCAAGCTTTATATTTGTAGGCAAAGTACCATATGGTACAGTGAGCACTCTCCTCCATAGCCCTCACCTCACAGACAGCAGAATTATAAGCAAATTTTATCTCTGTGGTATATTAATTCAATTTTCATCGCTCAACCAAAAGAGGACTGCCAAATGCGATTATCTGTGCAATGGTAAGTGGCAGCTTAAAAAGAAAATACTTGACTCAACTCTAAACTATTACATCTATTTAATATCTGTAAAGGATGATATATTAATGAAATAGCCTTCAAAACCCTCATTCCACCAGTATGAAATGACGAAAATATTTATACAAGATTGGATTAGCTACAAGAGAAAGTAACATTAACACCTTACTAAACCCTGGACTTACATTTAGTTTCTTTTCTCTTTTATAAAGAACAAAAGTATTTGCACTCACTAGGCCAATGTCAAATCAAATAAAAATACATTAAGAATTATCTGCCAACAGAAAGAAAATTGAAAGGTATGAGGAAATCTCATCTCCCGATCTAGGGAGTCAGTGATGACACATGGATGCACAAGTACCGCAACATGGGGATGCATCAGCATATCAGAGTACAGCATTTCTTGTGTACTGGGCTCTGAAGTAATGGTTTAAATGTCCCCAAGATAACCCTAAAAGGATCCCAAGGTTTGAGATCATGGATTTTTTTCTTCCCTGGGCTCCACCTGATACAGTCTCCAGAAACTTCTTTTAAAGAGCTAGGGATCAAGAACTTCATCATGAGTTTTCATTCTTACAAAAGTTAGTTATTTCACACTGTTTCCTCATATGTTTAATGCCTGATACCCTCACACAGCTGCATCTCAACCTCATTACTGCGAAGTAGCAAATTCCATAGGAAACTGCTGGAACCTGCCTGGAACACCTCTACCATGACCCAAGATTTCAGTACAACTATCAAACAGTGAAGTCCATTCAAATTAACTAAGAATGAGGACACTAACATTTCTAAATCAGTGCTGAACAGAGGTGAAATTACCAACACCTGCTTTTATTACAGTCTGAGAACAACTTAGAGTAAAAGATTTTAATTCAGTGTAGATCAGTGCTCTAGACCTGCTTCCACTTGACACATCTCCAATGCTTATGAGTAATGAGCTGTTGGTCTCAGTGACCAGCCACAGAATTTCTGAATTCTGTTAACATCTTCCATGATTATAGTACTGGTTTTCCACAAAGCACATGTGTATTCTTCAAAACCCCACCTAAGGACACCAACCCTTTTATTTTACACCTCAGATTACTAAAGCAGGTTACTAAAATTTTTTTCACCTTCTTCCCTTTTCAACTTACTGTCTCATACGATTTTACCTTGTTTACACTACTCTGAGTCAAGGTTGCCAAAGCAGTTCAAAACAGATCAGGGTCCAGCCCTGGTGGGGCATATTCAGACATGTCATTTTCCAGCTTAGGGAGAATAATATGGTCCATCCCCCACCCAGGACTAAATAAATCATTGTGGAATTATGTGAAAAAGTTTAAATTTTACTACCTCATGATTTTTATGGGAATTAAATACTGACATCAGTCACCAGTAAAAACTGGTGTCTTTTAAATGGAATTTCCCTCTGTTTTTTTTCACTTTGAGCTTCATACATTCAACCTCCCCTCTCCCCTTCATCTTTCCTTATATTTTGGTTCCTGAAAGATGATGGTTTCTATGGTCAACAACATCTTGATCCTCTTGAGGGAGAGAGTCGTCTGGCTATGCAGAGTTTTGGACTCAGCTTGGCTGTCCACTTTTTAAATACAGACAGAAAGCAATATCCCTGGCAAGTTCATTACTTGATAGGAAAAGGGATAATGATTGGATTAACTATCAATACTGTGACTCACTTAAGAAAGCACAGTTATTAAAAGGTCGGGTAATTTTTCATCCCAAGAGAAAAAGAATCATTCCTTATGTTTTTTTCACATGAAAGCCTTCCAGCTGCCAACAGCCTGGAGAATCAAACACTGCAAGGTTTTGGTATCCTCTCAAGATCATTGAGGTCTTGTTTTGGGTTTTTTATCCTCAGTAGAATCGACAAACAGACTCAAACTTAAAAAAGACTGGCAAATTTTGACTTCATCAAAATCTGACTACGTATTAAGTTTGAACTGCTGGTAGCTAGAAAAGCTATCAGGTTACTTGAAAACAGATTATATGTAGAAAACACAGAAAAGGAAAAAATAAGGAATCACAAGGGCTGCCAGAGCAGCTATCTTCCAGTGCACTTTAAATGAAACTGTGCTATTGTGCCTTCCGCAGAGTTATCAAAATAATAGGCTTCTGAATCTCTTCTACTTCAGCAATAGCTGCAGTATGGCTCATTTAAAAGCAGTTGTATTAGCACATGCCATTCTTTTTTCCCAAATGCATGGGAAATTAAATTAGATATTTAAAATATACATAGTTTAACTATTCTTCTGATACTCAATCCAAGTAGGGATTTTAACCACCCAGGAAAATTGTGTTATTCTCCAAGTTGAAACAGCACAAGAACTACAGGTCATATCTTCTACCAGGCTAAGATTAAGTTAAATAAACTAGTTTCCTAGAAACAAATGGGCACAAGGTAGCAGAGCAACAGCAGACTAAGTCAGGCCTAGAGAGACCAAACAGAGAAAGGCATAAAATAAAGTCAGGCACACATATTGTTTGAATTTTCTTTACTTGAAGGGTTTTTTTCTGGATATAGAAGGAAAATGCTGGAAGGCAGCAGTAAAAAGACCTACTAATTTACTCCACCTCTGCCATTCAGAATTGTTTCCAACAGTGAGTTTTCTTGTGCTTTGTCCAGAAAGCTCCATCAATCAAGAGGGAACAGGTAGAATACAAAGACACAGTAATGAAGCAGAGGAAGCCCCTTCAGGCTGTTCATTAGGTGACCCTAATTCCCAAGAGAATTCAGCACAGGCAAGCCAAGATTTCACAGAGCTCAGCTCACCATGGACACCATGCCCAGCCCTTACAAAAATCAGGCTGTTGATGCCACAAGCCAAGATCTGATGATTAATTCTCTGAATTTCTCTTTTATTTCAGAAGGAAAATGAATTTTGAAAAATTGTTTCAAGTTGCACATATTGAGCTCTCTAAAAAAAAGCCCTCTAGTGCTAAGAAATGCTGGCTCTATAATGAAATCAGGTTTTGGAGTCAAGTATTTAGGATAATTTTTTGTTCCATGTACCCCCCGGTGCTTTGAAAAACTCATTTTCATGGGGACAAACAGAAGCACAACAGTTTCTCCCTGTGAGCCATGCTCATGTGGTGTAGCCAACTCTTATTACTTTGTTGTAAACCATGTGATATTTTTTACTTTTCCTGAAGCCATGGTTCCGGAATCCTGCAATTATGTAAGAACATCAGATTTCCCTTAAAACAGAAAATCTTCATCTAGCCTTTGTACTCGTGGAAGGGGGCCCAAGCCCAAAAATCTGAAAGACTTACGAATCCAGAAGACAAACAAAACGGAGACTCAGAATTGTTGTTTATCTTTTAAACAAACATCATAGTTTTGCAGGCTTACATGTACACTTTCTGAGACACAGGATTTACTGGCATTACTCCTCAGTTCATATGCTTCAGCTCAAAGTCAAATACATGCACATTCCAACATGCAGTTTCTTGCCTCATGATATAAAATGATG